AAAAAAAAAAAAAAAAAATTCACTGGATAGGCTTGAAAAGCAGGTTGGAAGGGCTGGCCGAATAGCTCAATGGATCGCATGGGCCAGGGTTTGATCCCTGGTCCTGCTTTGCTGGCCCCACCCCCAGTGCCACTGAGACAGCAATTGAGACTGGGCCCTTGAGGTGACATGCACCTGTAGCCCCAGCTCTTGGGAGGCTGTAAACAGGCAGATCGCTACGAGTCTGATCTAGAAGTAAGACCCTTCCCTAAAATACAGGGAAAAAAAAAAAAAAAAAGCAGGTCGGAGTTGGCCAAGGAAAAGGTCAATGAGTTAAAGACATATAAAGAACAGAGAGAAAAAGAAGCAGGCAAAAAACTGTCTGTGGGACAATTCTCAGTGACCTGACAAAGGTGTACTTGTGGCCTGACAACAGAATAAGGGTACCAAAAGAGTTTTAAAATGCCAAGTGCCTTGCCTACCTGTAATCCCAGCTACCAGAAAGGCTAAAGCAAGAAAACTGCAATTCAAGCCCAGCCTAAGCAACTTAGCAGGACCCTGCCTCAAATTTTCTTTTTTTTTTTTTCCCATAATTTTATTGAGAAATAAATAGCAATGAGACAGTTTCAAATCAAATTGGTAGGACAGGGGGTCCTGGCCCTAGCTCAGTCCTTTAAGTGGCTGCTTCCACAAAGCTGTCAGCCTCAGGTTGCTGGAGTTCGAACCTCACAACTCTCCCGCTGGCCAAAAGTGCCCTGAAGGCATTCGAGGAAGAAAAAAAAAAACCCTTCTGCCATTTTGGGGCCTGCCCGGTAGCTCAGTTCTTTAAGTGGCTGCTTCAACAAATTGGTAGGACAGTTCCAATAATTAACATATTGCATACTCTCTTCCTAGTGGTTATTTGTTGTACAAGATGCAGACATGACATCCTATTTACAGACACTATTAGAACAAATCCCTCTATTTATTGAATTGAGAGAATATAGCTATATATCTATTCTAACCATTTTGAATACACATACAAAATGGTCATTCATCTGTATACCCTTTTTTTTTTAGTTCCGTCATTTAAATATTATAGGTGTGTGAACTCAGCAAAATATTCCAAAATAGTTCAGTAGTCCATAAGAGTATTGGGTCTTCTGCTTCACTGGCAATGTCAGAAGTTGTTGACCTGAGTCCCCTACAGCTCAACATAACACCATGGCTTTACTTCTTATACTTCGTTTTTATACTTTTCTTCTGGATGGTTAAGACCAAGGTAAAGCAGGACCTATGCAACAGGAGTTGTAGCTTTTGGGTCTGATAAGGTCAATCAAATCCCCTCAGGATTTATCCTGAGACCCTGTACCTCAGACTGCAGATCTTTTGTCAGTGTCAGCCATGTGGATGAGTCATGGCCATTGCTTGGCCAATTTGCTCTCTGTGAAAGCCTGAGAGAGTGTTTTCTCTCCATGTGACTCTGCTCAAAATTTCAAAGAAAGTGCTTGGTACTGTAGCTCAATGGGAAAGCCACTCAGCTATCAGCAAATGTGAAGCCCCTGTATTTACCTCCAGCACCAACAGCAAAACAAAACAAACACAAAACACTTCATCACGATTGGGATAAAAGGTATCTTCCCTAATCAAGGGCATCTGAAAAAACTTCCAACATCGTACTCAATAGAGAAAGACCTAATTTTTTTTTTTTTTTTTTTTTTTTTTTTTTTCTTTTTGCTGAATGCAGGAACAAGGTGAAGATGCCTACCTACCACTTCTGTTGAAACATACTGGAGGTCATACTCCAAAAAAGCAAGAAAAAGAAACAAAAGGTGAATAAGTTAAATAAGTCAAACAAAGTCATTCATAAGTGACAGAAAATGTGATCATTACTCAAAAATCAACTGCTTCTATATTCTAGCAACAATCAGAATGAATAAATTTACAAAAGCACTGAAAAGCATTAAATATCTAGAAATAAATTTTGAAGCTACATGCAAGAAATGTGCACTGAAAACTGAAACACACTGCTTAAAACTTAAAAAGTGTTAAGTGAAGACACCACAGTTACTAGCTAAAAGATTTGAATAATAAGATGTTCACTTTAAACACTGCATTTAACAGAAAATGTTAGGTTGATGCTAAAATTTATTTTAAAATGCAAAGTATCTATAATAATCAAAACAACATTAAAAACAAAGAGAAGATGCTACTTGATTTCAAGACCTGTAACATAAAGGTCCAATGACCAAGAGTATGACAAGAGGGCGCCTCATTTGCTTTTGTCTCCAGCCAGGGACGGAAGAACACAGGGTCACAACTCAGACACAGATGCCCGCCGCTCTATGCCCAGTAGCATCATCTTTTCCAGGAGGTTCAGAAGCAAACTACACTTACAGGTAACTGACGTTTGACAGCTGTACCCATGTAACTCAGTGGGGGAAAGCAAAGTATAACAAGGGTACTAAAATGCATGAACAAAGTAGGATGCAACTAATGAACTCAAACAGTGCTATATATAGCACATGTAAGAATTAATTTGAGATGGATCAGACACTTAAACATAAAGGCTAAAACTTACAAAGCTTCTATAGGAGGATTTTTTATTTTTTATTTTTTGGCTGGCTCAGGATGCCTTAAAGGTGGGTTTGGTAAGGTGTGTGGAGCTGGGGATTGAACCACAGTCCCCTGTGCCTAACTGGGTTTGCTCAAGCAGGGTTACTGAGCTAAACTGTAAGCCCTCAAAGCTTCTATAGGAAAATGACAATATATTCATTGTACTCATTGGGTAAGCAGAGAAAAAAACTTCATAGGCTGGACTTCATCCAAAATATCAGAAATTTCTTAAAGCACACCATAAATAAGAAGCCAAATACTGAGAAAATATTCAGAACACATACCTCTGGCAAAAACTGGCATCCAGGACTCAAATGTGGAGCTCTAAAACTCACCAATAAAAGTGCCATTTTTAAAAATGGCTGAAAACTAGCTGGGCATGGTGTTGGATGTCTGTAATCACAGCAACTCAGGAGGCTGAGACACAAGCTCAAGTTCCAGGCCAACCAGGAAATGTAGCGATTTAGACAGGTTCTGTCTCAAAAACAAAGGGCTGGAGATATAGCTTAATGCAAATACCCTGGATTCAACCTTCAGTATTGGGGGTGGGGAAAAAGACTAAAAGCCTGCTGCTGCACAAAAGCATCTGAATAACCAGTAGGTCCAATACCCATAGGAACTTCATTTTTAAAGACAGAAATAGTTCAAGTGCTTACTGAAAGAACATAAAACAATATAACACATTTACTGAACTGAGTAAAATAAGAATAGGGCTGGGAAGACAGCTCAGTGATCTAAGTGCCTTGGTCTAAGGCAAGACCAAGGGCCTGGGTTTGATCCCCAGTACCGCATGCCAGCCACTGAAACCGGGCATGGCAGTGCACCCCTGTAATCTCAGTGCTGGGGAGGCTGAGACGGGAGGATCACTATGAGCCTACGCTCATGACAAGACTCTGTACCAAATAAATAAAAGATTAAGAAAAATTTAAAATAAGAATAAAATGGGCTGGAGAGATGGCTCAGTGGTCTAAAGCACCTACTTGGAACAAGCTTAGCAAAAGCATCAGGGACCGCGGTTCAATCCCCCAGCACCACATGCCAGCCAGCCCCGCCCCCTGGTGGGCTGAGCTGGCCA